CCAGGTCGGTCTGTCGAGATACTCGGTGACTATTAAACTGTGTGACAGCTATTGTCTCGGTATCGGTGACTATCAAGTTGTGCAGTGACAGCAGGTGGCGTTCGTTGTATATACTATCGTAGGTTTCGGCTGACCTCTGTGGACACTCCGTTCAGGGGTAGCTCGGCACGATCAATATCAATGTTATGATGACACCAAGGTCTGGTGTGGGTGTTGATGATGATGAGGTTGATGGTGTTGGTGATGAGATTGGTGATGTCGATGATAATGAGGTTGATGGTGTTGATGATAAGATTGGTGATGTCAATGATAATGAGGTTGATGGTGTTGATGATAAGATTGGTGATGTCAATGATAATGAGGTTGATGGTGTTGGCGATAAGGTTGGTGGCGTCAACACGAGTGTCCAGTGTGTTGACTTGATGCTTTGAAGTGATCCCCGGACCGCAGTGGACTACTGCCTTCGGTTCTATCTATATCCGGACCGCTAACCTGCTATGGGCGCCTTCGGACGTCAGGTAGTGGTGATACAACACACACACTACGATGAGGAGCAACCTTGATAGATTGCTGCTATGCTGACTGTAACTAATGAGTACTTGTGTTTCTAAAGTATTGACTAGTTGTATGGTGAGTAGAGTGGATGAGGATCCACTCGACCTATGATGATGAGAAAGCATGGTTATATACCTCTTCTCAGCATCGCCAGCGATGCTGCTCCTGCTCTCTCTCCATAGAGTACCTTCTTCATCGAGTACTGCTCAGGGGCCTCTCCTGCTTGGCACCCCTGTGCCTCTTGGTCGACACAGCTCCTCCTCCTCATGACCTGGTGTCGACTCCTTCGACACTGCTCCTCCTCCTCATGACCTGATGTCGACTCCTTCGACACTGCTCCTCCTCCTTTGATCAGTGACAGTTCCTTTGGCTCTTGTCTCTCGAGCCCCTGAGTGGTAACCATCTGCATGCTCCTTGAGCTTGGTCCTCTTCGTGGCTGTGCCTGCTCCTTGAGCTTGGTCCTCCTCGTGGCTGTGCCTGCTCCTTGAGCTTGGTCCTCCTCGTGGCTGTGCTTGGCCCTCCTTTGCATGTGAGTCCATAGGAGTCCATGGTCTCCATGGAGACTGCACTACGACCATGCTCTCTACTGGTGTCGACTAGGTCTTCGATACCTGTGCTCCTTCCATATGAACCAGTGACCCTCCTGCTTCTTGAGCATCCAGGCCCATGACACTTCTCAGGCCAGCAGTGAACAGGACACTTGTCAGAACACCAGCAACAACAACAACACAGACTCTCCATTCAATCTTCCTGTCCTGTAGCATTACATGTACCATCATCTGGTCTCAATGCAAAGTTATTTCTGAATGTTTTTCTGTAGAGTGCAAGTATGAGGTGAATAAAAATGATGTGCAGCACAGTCACATAATGAGCTCCAAAGCATTTAAACAAAAAATTTCACTCTCACACCTCTTCTGTTACTACCACCACTCCACTCTGCAACCTTTTGGCATCACTCTTGTTGCCATCCCCTCTCCATCCCCCCTCTCCATGCTCCCTCTCCAACCCCTTTCCTCTTTCCAGCCATGGTGCACTACAGCAACAAGCAAGTAATTCTCAATGACATTGTCCACACTCTCGAGCTCTCTATACCTGCAGAGGTTGTCCAAAACACCAACAGAGTGCAGCACTCCTGCAGCACTGACATCGACGACTTGGACAACAATGGCAACCCACTTCCACTCTCACAACACCTTGTCTGCTTGTACACTTTCATATGCAAGCAAAGGTACACAATCACATGTTACACTCCTCTTGGCTGTGCCAATAAGCTTATCCACCTTCTCAACAGGTATGAATCAAGCAATCATAGGATGTATCATGGACTTGTTTGTATGTCCCCTGAAGCATTCAACAATCTTGCCATCCAACTCCAGCAAACAGAGGCTTTCTGGTGGAACTACAGCAGCTCAGGTGTGATGTCTCTCAACAGAGTGCAAGAGATCCTTTCAGTGGCTCTGTACAGACTAGGCTGTTCTGGAAATGGAGGTGGTGAATGTGATGCTGCTTTGCAATGCAGCTGTGGTGTTGGGAGCATTGTTGGATACACCAATTGCACAGTCACTGGCCTCCTTGAGCTAAACAACAAGGTCATGCAGTTTGCTTTGGAGGGAGAGAGACAACATGCTTCTGCCTGGGTGCACAATACAACTGGAGTTGAAGAGTGGGGTAAGGGCTGGCTTGTGGTGGATGGCGCACACATCCCTCTTGCCTGGGAGCCAGGAGTGCTCAGTCAAGAGCACTTCTGCTACAAAGGCTTCCACAGCATCAATGTAGTGCTGGTGATCCTGCCACACTCACTGTGGATTGTTGAATCAGTTGTTGGACAGCCTGGCAGCATTCAGGCATTGCTGCTGACAAGAGTCGAGACCTTCAACACTTCAACTACATGCTCTCTTGAGTCCAAGTACAAGTTGAACATGCCATTGCATACCTGAAGAACCACTTCCAGTGCCTTACAGGCTATCATGGTAACATCTACCATGTCAAGGACCACATCACTGCTGCCAAGATGATCCAAGCCTGCATTGTCACACACACCTTTGCAAGTCTATATGACTGACCTGCTGATATTGCCAACCTGCTGTTGCCCTCTTTCTCTGAGGATGAGGTGAATGAGGTTGTTCAAAGCCTCCAACTTGATGCCAGGGATACACAAGAGCTCAGGAGGACAAGATGCACAAATCAGCATGGATACAAACTGGATCTTGCCTCTGCAATGCAAGGAATGTCACAGTATGCAGTGTCAAGACTTCAAAGTTCCACTGCACATGATCTTCAAGAGGAATTGTTCCAGGTGCTGTTCAGATCCACTGGGTGCAATGAGGAAGACACTACTGCATTGTCTTGACATCATGAGAGGACTACTGTGGACTACAATGCCATGACTCAAAGTGCTTCAGCTCAGAGACAGGAGCAAGTCTTGACTCAACCATTCTCAATCTGACAGGCACTCTTTCTTCTGCTGTTCAATACAACTCTTCTTACCACCATATGAAACATTACATTGAGTGCATTGTGTGAAGAGGAAAGCAAGATATAAGCAAGCAATGGGTGATAGTGATGAGAGCAGGACAAGTAACATATGCTCACTGTTAGGTTATGTCTCTTATTGGCCATATGACTTCATTGCATTTACTATTTGGGAGCATGCTCCATAAACTGTCCCACAATAAATAAAATTTGGCTCTTCTCCATAGCACAATTTTCTTAGTCAATGTCAATATCATTTACACAGTCTTGGAGAGAAGAAGCAGGGCTTTCAGACAATATCAGACAGTGTGGCAATACAACTTATAGCTATTAGGGGTTATCAAAGTTTTTGCATTTTTAAAAATGCGGGTTTTTTGAAAAGCGCATTTTTGGAGGGAATTTGAACCCCCCCCCAAAGGAAATGCAGGTTTCCAAGACACCACTCCATTCCTGAACTTGTGGGCTTTTGACTACAATGTAACTTGGTGGGCACCTTCATACACATTGAAAGTAGTGATGTGGAAAGTTTCAGCTCAATCAGATGACTGTGAGCAATCTGGCAGCACTTCCAGTCTGACACCATCATATCTATACCATCATGCCAAAAACCACCCCAGAGAGGTGCTGATTGGCATTCTTTCACATCCAAATTGGGGAATCTATCCATTCAGTTGCAGAACAACTTGGTATGAGCAAGTCTACTGTGAATCACATCAGCAAAAGCGCCTCAGCTGATGTTCCAAAGTCAAAGGGGGGCTGGCTGAGAAAACTCCAGCCTCATCATGTTTGCTTCCTGGACCACTATTTCAAGCTCAATTCCACTTTGACTTTGGAACATCAGCTGAGGCACTTTTGCTGATGTGATTCACAGTAGACTTGCTCATACCTCACGAGAATCAGTCAGAGAGGCACCCCATCACCAATACGGCGAGAAGAGGTCACCAAACAAGGAGGGGACACCATCAGATGAGGCAGGGGCCCTACAGTGATGAAACTGGTGAAAGAAGGTGGGTGCCAAAGACAAGGAAGTGATGAAAGGGTGTGAGTCACCACCCAGATGAAGTGGGACTGGCCCCTGATGGAGATGAAGCAGCCAGAGGCCATCCATCCAGAGGAGGCAAGGAGGCAGTGCCAACAAGTGGCATCACAAGGTGGATGGAGAGCATAGGAGGGATGAGGAGGATGAGCAGTGTCACAGGCAACATTGCAAGGAAGGTATATAACCATGTCCTCTGTCCTAGCAAGAGAGTGGATCACCATCCACTCTACACCATACATAACTAGTCATCACTTTAGCATAAGTATACATTAGTTCCCATCAGCAAAGTTGAAATCAAGTAGATTGCTTCCACTGTAGCATGTGTGTTGTATCACTGCTCACTGATGTCCGAAGGCGGTTCCTAGCAAACCAGCGGTCTGTCATGGGACGGGATGCACAGGAATCAGGAAGATCTGTCAAGACATATGAAGGGAGTGTGGGAATTGAGGAATTGGGCAGATCATAGGACTTATAATAGAGTCCACTGAAATCTGTAGGAGAAGTGGCTCTAAGGCAGATCTCATCTAGATCAGTACAAGTACTCAGGGTATCACAAATCACACCAGAATCTGCAATAAACTGGATCATACAACAGGTCCTGTGGAGATCAATGGCAAGGATGTTCATACAATAAAAGGCTAGAAGGGGAGGACACTTGGGGTCACCACCAGATGAGGTAGGGGCCCTACATGACATGGAAGATGGTGCCAGCAGGTGGGTACTGTCAGGGGTCTCGCGCCTGAAACCCAGGTCGGTCTGTCGAGATACTCGGTGACTATTAAACTGTGTGACAGCTATTGTCTCGGTATCGGTGACTATCAAGTTGTGCAGTGACAGCAGGTGGCGTTCGTTGTATATACTATCGTAGGTTTCGGCTGACCTCTGTGGACACTCCGTTCAGGGGTAGCTCGGCACGATCAATATCAATGTTATGATGACACCAAGGTCTGGTGTGAGTGTTGATGATGATGAGGTTGATGGTGTTGGTGATGAGATTGGTGATGTCGATGATAATGAGGTTGATGGTGTTGGTGATAAGGTTGGTGGCGTCAACACGAGTGTCCAGTGTGTTGACTTGATGCTTGAAGTGATCCCCGGACCGCAGTGGACTACTGCCTTCGGTTCTATCTATATCCGGACCGCTAACCTGCTATGGGCGCCTACGGACGTCAGGTAGTGGTGATACAACACACACACTACGATGAGGAGCAACCTTGATAGATTGCTGCTATGCTGACTGAAACTAATGTATACTTATGCTGAAGTGATAACTAGTTATGGTGAGTAGAGTGGATGAGGATCCACTCGACCTATTGATGAGAAAGCATGGTTATATACCTCTTCTCAGCATCGCCAGCGATGCTGCTCCTGCTCTCTCTCCAGAGAGTACCTTCTTCATCGAGTACTGCTCAGGGGCCTCTCCTGCTTGGCACCCCTGTGCCTCTTGGTCGACACAGCTCCTCCTCCTCATGACCTGGTGTCGACTCCTTCGACACTGCTCCTCCTCCTCATGACCTGATGTCGACTCCTTCGACACTGCTCCTCCTCCTTTGATCAGTGACAGTTCCTTTGGCTCTTGTCTCTCGAGCCCCTGAGTGGTAACCATCTGCATGCTCCTTGAGCTTGGTCCTCTTCGTGGCTGTGCCTGCTCCTTGAGCTTGGTCCTCCTCGTGGCTGTGCCTGCTCCTTGAGCTTGGTCCTCCTCGTGGCTGTGCTTGGCCCTCCTTTGCATGTGAGTCCATAGGAGTCCATGGTCTCCATGGAGACTGCACTACGACCATGCTCTCTACTGGTGTCGACTAGGTCTTCGATACCTGTGCTCCTTCCATATGAACCCATGACCCTCCTGCTTCTTGAGCATCCAGGCCCATGACACTACCCCCCTCTTAAGAGCCGAGCTCCGTCGAGGCATGCTCTGGTCTGGTTCATGCTGACTCCTCCTCCTTGACAACATCGCCAACATCATCCTTCCTCCTTCTCTCAACGTCATCCTCCTTCCTCTTCCTCTCTCTACTCCTCCTGTTCTCTCCTCCTCTCTCCACTCTGTCTACTCACTCGTCCCCCCTCCGACACCTCATACTCCTGGATGAGGTCGGGACAGTTGAGGTTCTCTACTGGTTCCCATGAAGCAGCTTCCTCTGAGTACCCTCTCCACAACACCTTGTACTCCGTAGTCCCATTGTGTGAACGCTTGTCGATGAGTGCTTCGACTTCGAAGTCGAGGTCCTCATCTGGAAGTGATGGTATGGTGGGCTGTTCAGCACGTTGAGGAAGAGAACTTGTTCTTGCTGGCTCGAGCATGGAGACATGGAACACATCATGCACCCTAAGGTTTGCTGGCAATGTGATTCGATAAGCTCGGCGTCCTACCCGTTCCTGAACTGGGTAGGGTCCTGCAAACCGGGTGTCTAACTTGGGTGTGGGTCTCCTTGTCTTCCAGTTTCGTCGGTTGATATAGACCATATCACCCACCTTAAACTCGATGTCCTTGTGCTTCCTGTTATACTGGTTTACTGATCTACGTTGTGCCTCTCTGATCTGCTCCTGGAGGTACTTGCAACGCTCCTTTCCATCCATGAGGTACTCGAAGCGACCTGGATCATTGACTCCTAGTCGTTGAGGGATGTCAGGATGAGCTTTGGGGTTCCATCCATAGCATGCAAAGAATGGTGAGACACCAATGCTGTTGTGGACCGTGTTGTTGTATACAAAGGCCGCAGTGTCCAGCAGGTTGGCCCAGTCATTCTGCTCATAGTTGCAGTACATCCTGAGATATTGCTCTATGACCTGATTGACTCTCTCTGTCTGACCATCAGTTTGAGGATGGTAGGCCGTGCTAAGTGAGTGCTTCACACCCATTTGCTCTGCAAATGCCTTCCATGCTCCTGATATGAACTGCCTGCCTCGGTCCGAGACCATGTGATCTGGATATCCGAAGAGTCTAACCATGTGTCCATATAGCAATACTGCAGTCTGTTTGGCTGTGACTGTCTTATGGGTTGGAGCTAGTATGGCAAACTTGGTTAACCTGTCGACGATGACTAGGATAGAGTCATAGGTCTTGGAGTCATACTTCTTTGATGGTGGTAGTCCTTCAATGAAGTCGAGGGATATGGAGCCCCAGGGCCTGTCTGGGGTTGCTAGTGGCTGTAGCAAACCATATGGACGATGACGAGGAGCTTTGTACCTAGCACATACAGGACAACTTGCTACATAGTCTGCAATCCAAGCTGTCATGTTTGGCCACCAGTAATGTCGTTGAGCTGCCTTGATGGTAGCATCTCTTCCTACGTGTCCAGCAGTGATACCATCATGGCATTGGGTCATCACCATGAATCGCAGATGCTCTACAGAGAGAGACTGTCCATCTACCTCTTTGGCACTCCTTGAGTGTCGGTTGTTGGTCCTCCCTGGCATGATCACCTTGGGGATAACCAACCTCCCTCCACTGTACCATAGGTCATCCTTGAGTTCGAAAGGCTTCTTCCTATGTATCTCCTGTAGCTCTTGGTCTAAAGGCTGGAAGATCTTGACCAGGTCTTTGAGACCTTTTGATGCTATGGACTCCATCGAGATCATGGGGGCCACTAGGAGCGAGTCATGGTCTGCTGTCTCCTTGAACACTCGAGGAGGCAGTAGTTGCCTCACATTGTGATCCTGCTCTTCACCGGCTGGTTGCATGTCTGTCCTTCTGGTGAGAGCATCGGGTTCACCACCTTTGTCTCCTGGTCGATACTGCAATATGAAGTCGAAGTCTGCTAGTAGTATTGCCCATCGAGCTTGTCGACCTGTGATGCGTCTCTGTGACTTGAAGTACTTGAGGGCTTCATGGTCAGTGAGGATGACCAGTTGGTTCGGTAGTCCAGCTAGCATGTGTCGCCACTGAGTGAGGCAGGCGACCACAGCTAGGAGCTCCTTATCATGGATCTCATAGTTCTTCTCGGCAGAAGACATCTTCCTAGAGTAGAAGGCCACTGGATGCCATCGTCCTTCATGCTCCTGCTTGAGTACTCCTGCTATAGCAAAGTCACTTGCATCAGTCTCCAACCTTGTTGGAAGGTGGTAGTCGAAGTGCTGAAGCACTCCTGCTGATGTGAAGGCCTGGATGAGCTTGTGGAAGGCCTGTTGGGCCTCCTCTGGTAGCTCGAACTTCTTGAACCGTTCTATAGGCTTTACCAGTGCTGTCAAGGGCTTGGCTATGCGAGCAAAGTGGGCTATGAACCTTCGATAGAAGTTGGCAAAACCCAGGAACCTCTGGATGTCATGGATTGACTCCGGCATTGGCCACTCCTTGACAGTGCACACCTTTTCTGGGTCCATCTCTATGCCCGTTGGCTTGATGATGTACCCCAGGAACTCAACTGTCTTGGTGTGGAACTCACACTTTGACAGCTTAGCAAAGAGCCTGTTGCTCCTTAAGCGAGTGAGGACCTCAGTGACATGCTTCACATGTGCTTCTTCAGTGTCACTGAAGATCAGGAAGTCATCTAGGTATACTACCACATATATCCCAATGATGTCTCGGAAGATGTCATTGATGAATGACTGGAAGTGAGCCGGAGCATTGGCTAGGCCAAAGGGCATCACTAGGTACTCATAGAGTCCCAACTGAGTGCCAAAAGCTGTCTTCCATTCATCTCCTTTAGCAATCCGGATGAGGTTGTATGCTGCTCTAAGGTCTAGCTTGGTATAGATCCTTGCCTTCCTGAGTAAGAACAGCTGCTCCTCGATGAGGGGCAATGGTGCCCTGTTCTTGACAGTGATCTCGTTGAGACCTCTGTAGTCCACACAGAGTCTGAGACCTCCATCCTTCTTTGGTACGAAGAGCACCGGTGATCGTGCCGGGCTCTTCGATGGTCTTATGAACCCCTTCTTGAGGTTCTCATCCAAGTACCTCCTCAACTCGGACATCTCCTTGGGTCCCTTAAGGTATAGGGGCCCTTGAGGTGGCTTCCCTCCTTCTATCAACTCGAGGTGGAGATCATGCTCGGTATGATGGGGCAGCTTGTCTGCTTCCACCTCATCAAACACATCTCGCAGGTGTTGGTATGGCTTTGGTATGTCTGCAGCCGTCACCACCTTATCTACCTCCACCTCCATCTCGACTCCTTTGTCTGCGCCTGTAGGTACAAAACCAAAGGCTGGGAGTGATGATGGTGGCTCCTCTAACAGCATGAACCCTATGGGTCCATCTTCCAGAGCTGCTCGTAGTATGCGCTCTGCTGAGACAAACTCGTTACCATGAAGGGTTGGTCTCCTCATGGTTAGGTCCCCTGCTCTTGCTGCTTCAGGGGGTCTCCTAGGGGGTCGGTCCTGCTCCTGAGTCTTGAACTCCAGCTGGCCCGTATCCCATTGTATGGTGGGTTTGAGCCTCCGTAGCTCAGTGAACCCCAGGATGAGGTCATAGTCCGCAGTGTCGGCCACTGAAGCTTCGACCACACCCAGATTGTGTGTACCAATAGATACCTGCATGCTCGCAGAACTATTGATGGAGAGTTGGTGCCCGGTGACACCATGGATCGATCTTGTTTTTATGGGTTTTGTGGGTATTTGGTACTTACTAATGAAAGAATCTGAGACTATGGACAAACCAGCACCGGTATCAGCTAGTATCCGAGCAGGATGGTCTTGAACCATTCCAGAGAGCTCCAGTACTGCTTTGCCTCCACTGGTAGAGAAACATACTTGACAATCTTGATATATACAGAGTGATGGCGAGGAGGTTTGTAGAGCAATGCATGCCATCAGTGCATCACCCCACTGACGTTTCCCTCGTCGTCATCATCATCGTGCTCCTCCTCGTGATCGGGGTCCATGGGTTGCTGGTATGAGCTGAGGTCCATGGCCTCGGGGTCACCCGTCTCAGTGCTGCCTGTGTGGCCATCTCCTGAGTCGGTGGCCTCCTCGAAGGGGTCTGCTGTGGTGACCATAACCTTTGGTCCCATGGGTCGAGAGCTAAGAGGGTTTACCCTCCTGCTGGGGCAGTCTCTGGCCCAATGGCCGATACCCTTGCATACATGACAGGTGTTGATACCTGATGGGGCAGGGCTTCCTTGCTTCGAGGGTTGGGTGGGATGATGAGGAAGGGGTCGGTTTAGGTTTTGTATAGTTGCTTGTGTAGTTGCTTGTGATGGTGATCGAGCTGGATAAGGTTGAGTGGGTTGTCGGATGGGGATC